AGAGAGAGAGAGAGAGAGAGAGAGAGAGAGAGAGAGAGAGAGAGAGAGAGAGAGAGGGAGCTGGCAGCAAGTATATTCTGCAAATAGTTCTAAAATGCATTTGCAAATGCAGAAGCCTTCAGAACCATCCAACAATTCAGACACTCTTTTTATTTCTTCTCTGCGGGACGCCTCCATCCAGATTATTCGCAAAAAAAACGGAAAAGGTGAGAGCCCTGCCATCTTAGCTCAGAACTCCTGTGATTTCCTTTTCCCCCCCTGCCTTGTATTCCTCACTCCATTGTCCATGCATCCGATGGCAGCCGCCCTTGCTCTTGAATGCAAGTGTCACAGCAGGAGCAGAAAGAGGGTTGAGGGAAGGCATTGTCAAAGCCAGGGCTGTCTATTGTTTCTTTGCTTTCACTGCTTTGCCTTCCCCCTACCCCAGGCTTTCCTTTCCTAGTGGCCTCTGTCCAAGAAGAGGGAGAAAATTGTGAGAGTTAGTGGAGTAGTAGAGCCGTTTTTGCTGCACACTGTTTTGATAAACAGCTCAGCATTGCAGTCCACAAAATTAGGAAATACAGGAAGAGCGGAGGATTGTGGTGGGAGGTGGAGGGGAGGCTTTGCTTGCTCCATCCTAGATGCCAAAGGCAGTTTCTTCTGAAGGACTTCTGCGATGATATTTGTTTTCTGTCGTGATTTCATTTTTTTTTTTAAAGCACAAGGAAGGTTTTATTCATCTGTCATGCTTACCATTTGTTTATTCTTTGCTCGGTGCAACAACTAGATGGAAATTTTAAAGAAGGCCAGATCTGCTAGTTTGTGATTTTCTCAAATATTGAAATCAGTTCCGCCTGAATCTGTGATTGTCTTTCTTTCTGATCATTTCAGTTTGCATGTGAAATTTATGTGGTAACTTTCTGATGTGCATTAAAAAATTTAACCGTAGTTTGTGTAGCTGTAAGTGCTGGTATTGTGTTATTCTGTACCTTAAACATTCTTGTTTTTTTGGGTGACATCAATGTACAAGTGATTATCTTCTATGAACAGGCCAACTCCTGATAATCTCCCTAGTTTTCAAAGGTTTTGATTATACCCCCAAAATAGATTTATAAGAAGTATTTCAAATAGGCATTTGACATAACATGAAAAATTCTGTGGAATTTCCCAGTAACTTTTTTTTAAACTTTATGTAGTTTATCTTTCTTCCTATAAATAAATAAATGTGATTTTAACTGATTCTACAGAGAATCAGAAGAGCAGATTGAATGTGAATGCTATATCTGAACAATTTAGCTGAAAATAAACTACAATTACACATTTTGTAAACTAGTTTTAGCTTAGAAAAGTCGCATACCTATAAATGGTTCTCTATCATTTTCTTCCTTCTAAATACTGTACTATCTATAATTATCTAAAAAATTATTCCCAATTGATTTTTTTTTCTTCAAGCCATCTCACTTCTGGCTTCTGTCCAGGACTCTTTCCTATTTTCAGAATTTGCTACACATTCAGCATTTCAGTTCTAAAATGTGTTTTACATCAAAAGGGGACGTATCTGCATGGAGAGGAGGAAATGTTTTCAAGAAGTCATTTCATTGTATAATACATGCCAGGGGTTTGGAATTCCATATGAACTCGTGATCTCTTTCTTTTCAAAATAGTGGTTGTAGCCAGCCTGTGAATGTGAAGGTAGAAAAACTTTGGGGTTCCATAAGCTAATACACTAAATTGGAAGTCTGAGCTCTCATTTATATGAACATCTGGTTTGGCACACTGCAAATGCATTCTCTCCCTTCCCGTTCCCATTGCCTTAATTTAGGGGACTCAAACTGAGCCACCCTGCCTCTCTTTTGTGAAGGGACAGTTTGAAAAGTCTATAGAAAGCAAACTTCTCGAAAAAATGCAGAGCAGGCTATGGTTTGAATGCAAGTCTGAATTTAATTGCGGCCACTCTGGTGGTCCACTGTGTAATTTCCAGCACGCATCTGCATGATCCTTACCACAACTCTAGGCCAGGAATTGCAAGCAAGGAAAATTTCTCTGTGATAGCGATAGTTACTTTTTTTTTTAAAGTTAAAGTTTTGAACAATTACTTGGGACTGATTCAAAAGTCAATTTTAAACAAATGATTCTGAAGCTTTTATGAAAAGGGAAGTTGGTCTTGCTAAGTTCTTTAAAGCATTTTGTAGAGAGAAAGGGAGAGTTCCACCTTCTGATCGGCTCTACTTTGGTAAAGGGTGAAATGGGGGGAAATGTGTTGAAATACACAAGAATGGATAGTCTTGCCATTTAAGTGGTCTTATTTGCACTTTGAAACAGTGTGGTTTTCCCCTGAGCTGGAAGGAATGCTCACACCCAAGGGAGCAGACTTGGAGGGAACTTCATCTCTTAACTTGCGCCCCTGCAGATGTTCAGCTTCTTTTGGAACAACTTGAAAGAATCAATTACATTTATGGCCAAGATTGATCTCCAGACATTTTAAAGGCAGAGAAATTCAAGTTCGAATATTATTCCAAACATTTCACACAACTATAGTTGTTTTAGAACACAAAACACTTAGACCAGAGAGAAGGCCCAACTTGGGCATTTCTTAAAACTAGGCTTGACTTACCTCCAATATTTTTACATATATGCTCCCACCCCATACTATCTATTGAACCCAGGGCTGTGGCTCTGAGCTATATCCTCAGCCCTTTTTAAATTTTTGAGATAGGTTCTTCTTAGTGCTAAGTTGCCTATCATGGGCATGAACTTTTGATCCTTCTGCCTCAGCTTCCCATAGTCCTGAGACTACTGTGTGTGACTCTATCCAGTCTATCTGTGGCATCTATCATCTGACACCTAAAATGATGAACATTTTCTTAAAGAAAAACAATACTTTTGGAATTGTGAGAGAACATCTTACCAAGAATCAAGCAGAAGAACACACATATGAGAAAATAGAAAATTAAGCAGGATATAGCTGGTTAGTCCTCTTTTACCCAACATGCCTCAGGCTGATTTAAAGTAACCTCTAAAATGGCAGAACTTAGCCAAAAGCAATAAAATCATTTCTACTTCTTTCATTAATTGAAAAAATTTTCTTTTTCAAAACTAGATTTGTCTATCCTTAACTATACTGTTAAGTAGCAAGCACACCTTTTAGATTACCACTTTTTTTTTTTTTTTTTGGAATACCTAGGACTGAACTCAGGGCCTTCACACTAAGCTACATTCCTGTCTGCTGAGATTACAGGTGCTCACCACTACTCCCACTTTAGTTACCATTTTTATGTCCTTCATAATTTCTTCTTTCCTTTTCCAGTTAGGAAGACAAAACTAGGCTGGCCTTTTTGAACACATAACCTG